AGCAATTCCTAAATCTACGACTTCAGAAAAATACCCTCCCACTACTAATTGTGCATCTTCAAATAGTGAGCATCTTGTTATTAAATAATCAACTGATATCAAAATGAACAGGGTAAGTTTCAATCCTTTGTAGTAATTGTATTCTCGGCACCTGTTGATGCTATTGGAAAATCACAGTTGTCCACTTTTAAGCTGTCAAAGGACGTGATATTTTGTGCAGGCCCATGATAATCGAACGCAATGAATCCGAAAGTGAAATGTTTGATTGTAATGATGACAAGTATTGTATGTTTGATGCACATTTTGATTGGTTTTAACCTATTAAAATTGAAATTGATCCAAGCAAATAAATGTTAATCATAAAATAAATATAAGGCCTGGAATTTCATATACTAAAAAGTATTGAAAAAAGCATGCATTTATGCATACAAAAATAATGTATGATATATATTCTAAAACTTATTCCAAATATTACAATTGAAAATCGGCGATTTTGATACATTTTCAAAGAAAAATTAACTTCGGTTAATGGCCAATATGTTTTTATATACTGAGAAACTCCGCAACACGTAAACCGACGAAATTAGTGGGTGCGTATATAAAATACAGAGTGACAATTGCGTATATAAAATACAAAGTGACAATAATAAGACATGATAAATGAAATATATTATTAGCCGATTGCTCTTGTGTTACATGGATAATATAACCTTTTTAATTTTTATTTCTTAATACTGAAAATAAAAATATTAAATCTGATAGTTTATTTTTAGAAAATTTTTTTTTTTTTTAAAACGGAAAAATTGAAAATATTTAAAATTAAATTTCGTTTTTGTATAAATTTAACTACATACGTGGAATTTTGTTTTACATTTTCAATCCTTAGATATAAGAGTTGAACATTTTATACATTTTTATCTAAAAAATAATTAATCTATTTTAAATTTGATAATTTTGTCAAAATGTGATCTTTAAATGCCTATAAAAAAAAATTGTGCCCTTGTATTTTTTATATTTTTCAACTGCTATTGTAACAATATATCAGAAGCCTTTTACTACATTTTACACTTTTGGGTCCAAAAGATAAAACTTGATATTCCTAGAAAACATAAAAAAAAAAATAAAAAAATTGAAAACCGACAATGCCCGTAAACAGCTCAAAAAGCGTCAAAATACTTTGAAAACATTGCAGTGAAATTTGCATGTATCTAGAGTTATTCATTTTTGAATTATATCAAAATAAGAAAATCGTTACATGAGAAATCGAACGAATAACAAATTTTGTAAAAATATGAATTTAAAATGATCATAAAAATTTAATTTCACTTTCCGGTAGATATATTTTTTTCTTTTTTTGATAAAGGTAGACAAAACTAGAAATCTTGTTTTACATTTTCAAATCTTAGATTTAAAAAAAAAAAAAATTATGAATTTCTAACTAAAAATAATTTGCAAATAAAAAAATTAAAAATAAACACATCATTGTAAGATCAATATATTCATCGCTCCACTTAGAATCTAAAATTAAAAACACAAATCATTGTACAATTAATAGGTACATTCATTGGTCCACTCAGAATTAAAAACATAATTATTTATAACAAATTAATTTAATTTCCCAAAATCTGGGTAGTTTTGCATAGTACCTATGTTATTGAAATAGAAAATTCTAATTCAAACATATTCAGTGAAAATATCAACAAAAAAAAGGTATCTAGTATCTACAGTAATTTTGACTACCTACTATTATCGTGTAAACAAACACAAAAAAATAAAATACACATATCAGATCACTATACTCAGTATCTAAAATTTTAAATAATACTTGTAGCACAAGACCAATTGGCTAACAATTGATATAAAAATGTGGCATTCGAAAAAAAAGTTTTGAAAGAAATTTAAGTTTAAAATTATAATTAAAAAAAATAAATTACGAAAGAGTTACTATAATTAAAAATAATTATAAAACAAATGTAATAGTACCTACTTGTATTATAATATTAGTAGGTATAAAATATCTTACTGAATTTTTCGTGTTTCCGTTTGTTTTTATTATATATTACGACGTGGATTCAAGGTTGACCTCGAACTGTGAAAGAATACTAACGATGACACTATGAACTGCAGTGATATTTATATTATATAATATAATAATAATTGAGATAATAATTAATAGTATTGTCGGATATATATAAGATAATAATAAGTATAACGATACGATATGTACTGTAAAATTATGAGACGTAATACAAATCATCGACGTACTATGAACACTACACTACACAAGACATGCATATGGTAGGTTGTAATTATGTATTATAAAAATATATAGTCAGTGTCAACCATAGGCGTGCGCAGACTTTTTGCGCAGGGGATGCCAATATATTTAAAAATAACTCAATTTTTATTATCTCCCTTCAAAAACACACAAATCAGAATTTTTTTTTTATTGTATTACATTTACATAACTACAAAGTTCTCAAAATAATAGTATAATAGTAAAATAATAATATTAAATATATATTATAGTATATTATATATATATTATAGTCAATATAAGTAAAAATATAATTTAAACTTTGCATTTCATAACTAATTTAATTAATTTAATTTAATTAATACTTTATTATAATTCTAATCTTCGGTCAAAAGGATGCAAATGTTTAAATTCATCAATTACTTCGTCATAATTTATCTCTGATGCTAGTTCTTGTTCTACAAATATCAACATCATTGCATCTAATCTTTCTTGCGACATGCGGCTTCTTAACTTTGTTTTTACCAAACTTAATTTGGAAAAAGCTCTTTCGCAAGAGCAACTTGTCACAGGAATGGTAGTAAAAAGTTTCAATGCTTTATTTACATTAACAAAATTTTTACTAATTGATAATTTTTCTAACCACTGATGAATTGTTTTGTTTGATGGTCCTGCTACAAAATCGGGCAAAGAACGTAGAAGTCTTAATTCACCTTCTAATTCGTCACTATTAAGTACAAACTTCCGTGAAATTAATTCAATGTCAAATTCTTCAGTTTTTAGTTCTACTAAACGACCAATTGCACCAATTAAATTTAATGTTTCCTGATTAAATCGATTTTCAAGACCGTTAAACAAATCATCTAATACAGTGAAGTAAACATGACATTTCATCTCACTTTTTTTATCCAAGATGGTTTTTTGTAGCAATCTTCACTTTTAGCTAAACACAAAGTAATATCTATCAATCGATGCATGATGTTACGATTGTGCAAACGCTGCTTTTCTCTTTCACTAATATATACTAATCTAGATTCATCCAAGGTAACATCAATTGGTTTACAATTTGAAAAGTTATGATACGCTGTCATGCTAAAATTATGGGAGATTGAATTTTGGTGCTTTTTAAATTTTGTAGTAGAAGTACTCCAATTTTTAAAACCTTTTTGTGAAAAAGCAAAGTCTACTTGTCCGGCATTTAACCCTGGAGCTGTATTAAACATCCGACATACGAAACAAAATGCTCTGTCAAGTTTCACACTATATTCTAACCAGCTAAAATCATCATACCAGGAACTTTGGAAACTCCGTACTCTATTTCCAAACTGTGTCCTGGGATACATTTTTAATTTTGGTTGGAATGCCCCTTTAAGTATTCGCTCTTTTCGTTCTAACTGAAGAGATGGTATTGGGTTTACAGGATCATCAGAGTCACATAGTGAATCTAATTAGATTAGAAGAAAATACATTGTAAATGTGAATTCAAAGATTAAAATACTCACAATATGTATTTATTAGTTATTACTGTTAGTACACATAGCGTTATAATAACTATTATTATTATACAATGTTTAGACATAAATGTTAGAATTAATTATTAATGCAAATAAATATTTATGTAACAATCTAACAGTGAACACTTAATATACAATTAATACACTCAATGCTAATTATAATTAGCATTGAGTGTATTAATTGTACGCCTATGATTATAATTACCTACTAATTAATATTATTACAATTCATACAACAGTTATTAACTAAATATTTATAATATGAACATATTTACAAAATATATTTCATTTATACAATCACATTAGGACACTGAAATATTCAACACAAATATCCAACACAGATCACAGGCAATATTGTTTGATGTTGTATTAATACTAAAATAAATAGTGGTACTGGTACATTAACAGTATTTGACCAATTATCATGATTCGGTTTGGGGTTGCTCAACAATAACTTTATTATTCTGTGCAAATGGTATCGGATCATCTGGATTAATGTTGACTAAATTAATTTAAATTATAAATATTAGTTCATAGTTTACATGCTTAAACTAAAACAAAGAAACAGCTCACACAATGTAAACTCTAACGTTTAAAATATCAACTTACCAGAATACAGTTTTAATGATTTTGGTTTGAAAAAATCATGCATAGTTTTCATTTTTTTGTTTTGGTTTCTATTCATATTCGTATTCTAATATTATAATTTACAACGCAATTAAGTATAAATAATTAATATTATTGAAATTTGAAATATTTAATAGGTAAAATAAAATTTAAAACTGTAAAAGAAAAATAACACCGAATGGCCGAATGATGGCGAATATAAAACAATTAAACAACTCTATTCATCTAGAGTCTAGATAGTAGTCAGTAGTTTATATTTTGTATCCGTGGTTCAAACAAAACGGTTGTGATAACAATTATGATAACTGATAATATTGATAGTTTTCGCTCGAACGATGTAGTTATCAGACTGCTTTATGGTTATTGGTGAAACAGTTAATGAAATGATCACATACCACTATATATGTAGTGTATGTGGTTGCACTGTACAACCGATTACTTTTGTAAGAGGTTATGTTACTTTTAAGAAACACTTTGTTTAAAATTGTCTAACGGATTACTTGTAGTTTTTTCTAATATAGAAGAATATATAATGTAACTTTCATGTTTTGTACACATGACCTTATACATGTACCTAGCTTATACATGTACCCAGCCCATATATGTACCTTATATGGGCTGCTGAAAATTTGGTTAGAACTTTTAAGAATTTTTTAAAGAAGAGTGGTATGAAGTCAGACTTAGACACAGAAATTGCCAGATTTATGTTATCTTATAATAGTACCAAGCATTGTGCTACAGGTGTAACACCAGCTGAGTTACATATTGGTAGGAAGTTATTTACATCTTTTGACAGATTGGTGCCGAGAGCTAAATATAGATATAACAATAGTATGTTGGCAGCTAAGAGAGTTTATAAAGGGGGTAGAGTTAAAATGTTTGAAATGGGGGATGATGTGATGTGCCGGAATTATGCTAGTGGGGCTAAGTCATAGAGTATATAGAGGAGCCCTAATTGAAATAATATGAAGCGGAAATGGAAACAAAACAGTGTAGGCAAACTATAGAAAATATTTTATTGTATATGAACTATAATACAATATTTATTGTAATTTAATTATATTATTCATTATTATTACTCAATTATATCATATTGTTCTATGGTTATATTAACCTTTATTTATAACTATCAATATAATATTAATTATTATAATATTACTGAACTGAACTTGATTTGCACAAATACGTAAATACTATTATAATATGTTATGGGAGGGTAGTAACTTTTTGGTGAGGAAATTATCAGTACTATCAATACTTAAATTATTGTAACACACCAGCATCTTAGGTTTGTTCTTAAAATAGTTTCTGAGTAGAAAGTATTATAACATATTCAAAATATTACATTGGTGGGATTTACGAAAAGTTGAAAATTAGCGCTATCTATCAGTTGCGTTGTTAGTTATTGGAAACCAAATCCGACATGTTTTGCTTCACATAATTCATAATACTTATTCTGATAGGGCATCTCTATATACTCTATGGGCTAAGTGGATAAGGGGTACTATTATTCAAATATTATCACCTGTAACTTATATGGTACAGTGTGTAGGGGGTGAGGTTTGGAAAAGACATATTAATCAGTTATTGGAAACTAGTGTTGCTGTAACAAACCCTTGTATTAAAACATTAACAAACTCTGTTGTGGGGCCTAAGGATCAATTACCATCATTGCCTGGTAAGGAGGTGGTGAGAGAAGAAAGTGGAGTTGAAGATAGCCTTGAGACTGAAAAGCAGGATGTTCCAAAGTTATGGAGGAGTGAGAGGATTAAAAAAATTCCTAATCGTTTAAATTTATAAATGTGTATACTATGTTATATTATATTGTTTTAATGTTTAGGAACTTTAAAGTTCTATTGTATTTTTGTTGTATGTACTTATAAGAAGTTATTATTATTATTATTAAAAAAAAAAATAATGTTGTATTGTTATGGTTTGTAAATGTCTCCAATGCTTAGTAGAATGGAGCATAAATTTAATTTGTATTTAGGATTAAGATAAATGTTGTATTGATTGATGTTTATGGTTCCTTGCTTAGTGGGAAGGATCTGTAGTGTATGTGGTTGCACTGTACAACCGATTACTTTTGTAAGAGGTTATGTTACTTTTAAGAAACACTTTGTTTAAAATGGTCTAACGGATTACTTGTAGTTTTTTCTAATATAGAAGAATATATAATGTAACTTTCATGTTTTGTACACATTAAATTTCTTTTAATTATAATGTTGTGTTGCCGTTTATTAATGTGGGCCTCGACTTTACAATATAGACTAGGTATACTCTTATTATTTTAGACTATATTAAAAATTAAAATAATAAATATCTCATGTGTAGTGTGTACAAATGTCCTTTTAGTTAGAATATATGTGCCCGTAATCGAGACATATAAGTCACTGTTTTACTATAAATTATTATCATTTCGTCATAATTTAAATTCAAAATTTCTCACTAAACTTTTGTTTTATTACGTACTCATCGTATTTTTTACCGTAAAATGGATCTATCAAAAAATAAAAACCGCGGAAATCCATCAAAGAAGCTATCAAACAAAAAAATCTGAGTTCTCGAATGAAGGCGCTCTTTGGAATTTGGAACGAAAACAAGTATTTAAAATTTAAACGAAAAATAAAGTTTTAATAATGAAATAATTACATAACTTAACATAATTTATTCATTTTATTTTGATTCAAGGCACAACCCCGTAGGGCTATACTGGCTATAGAACGATTGAGAACGTTACACCTTTTTGGCCGAACGATTGAGAACACTTAAAAATAACAAAGAACTTACCACTGACCGACTGACCACAAAAAAACCCAAAAAAGAATACGATTCAGAACGAATTTACGTGCAACGTTGCCATATCATTTAACAAATATTCTTGAAAAAAGTCATATGTAATATAAATATGTTTAAAAAATTTAAAAAAAATTAGAATTATAAAAATATGTAAAAAAAAAAGTAAAAAATGTAGAATATTATAAAAATATGTAATAAATACCTATGTATAAAATATGTAATAAATAAGTAACAAGTAATGACAAATTAGTTACCTATAAATTAGTTATAGCGGGATAGCTTAATCCAACATACTCTAAATATTTTAATAAATTACTAGAACTTTTATTTGCTACACACCACATATATTTATTATGAATATTAATTAATTTAAAATAAAAAGCTTTTAGCTTGCAGTTTTCACGTACAACTTGACGTTCTATAGTAGAGGTATACACAGAACGAAATAGATGCAGTAAAATTAACAAAAGATTGTGATTAATTTTTGATAAAAATGTATACATTAATGTAACAATAACTGCATTGATTTGTACAAATTGTATTCAATTTGAAAAAAAGCTGTTTGTTAAATTATTAATTTGTTATTAAATTAATGAATAACATTTCATCAATTATTCTAGGCAAGTTACGTAATAATTCAACAATAATAGTTTTGATAATTTAATAATGTTGTGTTAAAATGACGATTTATAATCTGTTAAAAACGAATTGTACGCTAATTTCAATGTATTTTTAGCGCGCACTTGTTTTTTAGTCGGGTTTCCTTACCCGCCGCTCGGGTTGATAACTATAATCGTGATATTGGTAATATTGTGTTGTGTCAAACGGTTTTTTTCATGACAGACGAAAGCCTAGTTGACTAATGTGGCGTCTATCGACTGTCTGAAGTGTTTTCAATTGTATTTTAATTTTAATTTTTTTAATTGTGAAGATTGAAGAATTATTTTATCTCGGACTCGGAGTACAAGTAAGTAATTCAAAATTACCTACATATGATAATCCTACCTATAATTATCTATACCCTGTTCCAAAAGAGAATACATCAGTGCACCAGGCATCCACAGCCAAAACCGGTTTTGCTACGTAAATCTGGTGTCTTCTCTTTTGGAACATGGTATATATTTCGGTATATTGTAGGTATTATATAACCTGTTCTTTTGTCACTAAAAGTTTAAAGCTACATTTTTTTTTATAACCCATAGGTGTCAAAACTCATCTGAATATTTTTAATTTTTATAGCCATTTTATATACTTACACTGGCTATAGGCTATACCATTAAATAAATATTTTAATTAATCAAACAAATTACCAATCTAAGAATACTTACTTAATTAATGACAATTTAAATATAATATTAATATTACAGGTAAAACTTAAAATGATTTGCTTTATTTGTAAAATAATTACACCCACTTTGCCTTCTCTAATAGCACATTATAAAATTATACATTTACTTGGACCTCATAGCTCTTATACATGTCAAGAAAATGATTGTTCTCAATCTTTTCAAACCTTGAGTAGCTTTAAAAAACATTTAATAAAAAAACATATTGAACATAATTTAGATGAAACTGTAATGTCTCATAATATTGATATTAATACTAATGATTATGATCAAGAGATGGTTGAAGAGTTAGAAACACATCATATAACGTCCAATAAAACATATAACATCAATAGCAGCATCGAACAGTTGCATACATCTGTGATTCAATTTTCCCTATCTTTACATAACAATAATTATTTTTGTAGAAGTGATGTCTTAAGTATAATTGATGATATTGAAACAAAAATTGTAAAATCTATTACATCATTACTAGAAGGTGTTATTCAAAGTGGAATTGAAGACCCTTTGTTAAAATCAAAATTTTCAAAAATTACTTCAGCAATTTCAGAGTCATTTAAATTATGTAAATCAGAATATTTATTAAGTAAATACTTAACCAATAATGCGGTTGTATGTGATTCATTGCAACAATTTACTATAAACAATGAAATCAATTTAGTATCGCATAATGGTACAGTAGAATATGATGAAAAAAAAACTAAAGGAGTTTTAATGCCTCTTAAATTCCAATTTCAAAAATATTTTGAAAAGAATAATAATCTTGATTTAGCAATACAACGGTATAATTGAATTAGTTGTCCAGTCACTGAAGAAAATAGTTCAATAACAAATTTTATACAAGGATCTTTATGGAAAGAAAAGATTGTTCCCTACAAAAATAAAATAGTAATGCCATTTTTTATTTACATAGATGACTTTGAAATTAATAATCCATTAGGATCAAAATCTATGTGTCATGCTATTTCTGCTATTTATTATAGTTTTCCTTTAAATGATCAAAGTTCAAAACTTACCAATATTTTTTTAGCAGCACTTATAAAATCTAAAGATTTGAAAAGGTATGGGAACGATTTGTGTTTCAAACAATTAATTAACGAGTTAAATTCATTAGAAGAAATTGGGATTTTAATTCAAACGGCAGATGGTCCTAAAGAAGTTCATTTTATTCTCGGTTTAATAATTGGGGATAATCTGGGTCTTAATAGTATATGCGATTTTGGTAAATCATTTGCTGCAAACTATTTTTGTCGATTTTGCAAAGCCCATAAGACTTTGACACACACGTTAGGAAAAGAAGAACAAACATTAATTCGTAATATTGAAAACTATAATCAAGATTTAGAAACAAATGATTTTTCTCAAACAGGAATTACTCAAAATAGTATTTTAAACAATATAAATTCTTTTCATGTTACTACAAATTTTTGTGTTGATGTAATGCATGACATATTCGAAGGGGTATGTCATTATAATATGTGCCATATTATAACTTATTATACAGACAAATTAAAAATAATATCGTTAGAAACATTAAACTTACGGAAACAATATTTTAACTATGGGGATTTAGAACAAAAAAATCTGTCACCTCCAATAGAGAAACATCATTTATCTAAATTCCATTTGAAAATGTCTGCAAGGCAAATGATGTGTTTTGTCCACTTCTTTACATTAATGATAGGTGATTTAATACCAGAAGATGATGAAGTTTGGATATTTTTTTTAAATTTTCTAGAAATCATTGAAATATTGTTGAGTCATGAGTTAACACTAATTAGCTCTATTCCTCGTTTACAATACTTAATTAATAAACATAATTCAAATTATATATTATATTTTCAAGATACTTTAAAACCGAAAAACCATATCTTAACCCACTATCCAACAATAATACTCAAATCTGGACCTCCTAGACACTTTTGGTGTTTCCGTTATGAGGCTAAACATAAAGAGCTAAAAATGTACGCTAGAGCAATAACTTCAAGAAAAAATATTTGTTTAACTTTGGCAAAAAAATATCAATTTAAGTAGTATGCGTACTTCCTATTAAACGGAGAAAATAATAAAGAATTCATTGTGACCGCTAAACATCAAATTCAATCTGATGACAAATTTTTATCTGGTATCTCATACATACCAGCTCATAATTTTGTAAGCTATTCTAAAATTGATTATAAGGGAACAATTTATAAAATAAGAGATTATATAACAAGTTTCAAAAGTGTTATTCATTTGTATGAAATTCTGGAAATTATTATAGTGCACAATAATGATATATATTTTATTGTTCACGAAATTCAATTGGATTCATATGAATCACATTTAAGAGCATACAAAGTCAACAAGGACCAAAATATAATCTCAAAGTGTTTAATAAGTGTAAAAGAGTTATGTGGTCCCCCAATTAATATAAGTAAAGTCACAAACGGAGGGTTAATGATCAAATTAAAAGAATATTTTTAAAAATTTAGAATATTGAGTAACAATACTATAGTCTATAATAATTTCATTACTTACTTTATTTATATTAAACACATTTTCATTATTTACATTTATCTTTAATAATAACAACAATAATCTTAAAAAAATCTGAAACATTTTTTTTTTAACCTATTAAACGTGTTAACCTTATGATATTGTATTATATAATTA